AATGAAAATGAAAATGTACATGGTGAGCTACCATTCTTAGATTGCTTAGTAAAAAGAAATCCAAATGGAAGTCTAAACCTATCCATTTACCGAAAACCGACGCACTCAAATCGTTACATTGACTTCCATTCAGCACATCCTTTCAGTGCTAAGATCTCGCTAGCCTTAAATCTTTTTAGAAGAGCTAACAAGATCATCACATCAGAGGAAGACAAACAAAAAGAACAAATGAATATAATTAACATCTTACAATTTAATAATTTTCCTTTGAAGATTATTAGAAGTATATTAAAACAAAACAGTTCATTACGTTATAATAATAATTCGAATGAAATCCCATGGATTGGTACTGCAGTTTTACCATACCGTCATGGCACAACAGAAGAAATTCAAAGAATCTTGAAACACCACAGAATTAAAGTATACTACAAAACAACCAATACACTACGTAATACTTTAGTTCACCTAAAAGACAAAATTCCCTTCATGTACACACAGAACTGCGTCTACAAATTAGGTTGTATCGATTGTGATGCCTATTATATTGGAGAGTCATCCCGCGAAATCTTGACTAGAGCCAAAGAACATATTAGGCACACAAAGAAACCTCCTAACAATCCTGTAGAATTGAACCAACTTCAAATTAAATCGGCAATAGCAGTTCATGCCATTTTCAACAACCACCAAATCGATTTTAAAAATATCAAAATATTGCAAAAAGGCTTTTCCAACTACAAAGAAAGGAGGGTAGCTGAGGCGTTCCATATAATGCTTAATCCTACTTCTCTCAACAGAAAGGAAGGCCTTACCATACATCCTACTTGGACCATTTATCCCAACCATTCAGTCTGATCATATTTACAAATTCATACTATCATATTACAAATTTAAACTCTATCCCATCTTACCATAAAGGTCACACAATTTTTCATTCTTAAACAATGCACAAATACATACACATGCAAATTTACATACACGTCACTTATGAATCACCTTGACAAAAATGACATGACATCAACTTGTTCATATCTGTTTTTTGATTGATCAAATATTATTCTTGTATCGTTCCGTTGTACTATTTAAACTTGGATTAATTTTAATTTGTTTATTTATTCTCTGAAGAAGTGGCTTACACTAAGTCACGAAACGTCAGAAAATCTAATTTTCTACTCATTGGGATATTACAAATATATTATTTATTTATCACATGAAGATGTTCTATTTTAAAGTTTGAAGTTCAAAAGACTTGTGAAGTGCGTCGATCTAAACCCTGGAAGTGATATTCAGAGATGCTGTTCTTTAACAAATCAGTCAAAGAAATTGTAATAATGTTTACCAAAAATCAATAGTTTTCAGTACTGATTATGGCTGTCTGACGTTATCTAAAAGAACTAGTTTAAAAAATCGAAAAAATTTGAAAGATTTTGTGTCAAATTTTGATTGAGTAATTCTTGTAATGAACTATCATAATTACGTTTACAGAAGTTTATATAATATCAGGGTCATATGGAGTCACACAATCACATACAATTTTTCTTATGTAGATCTCTTTCTCATGTTTTGTTCCCTCTCCTTATTAGCTTGGTTCAAGTGTAGAAGTAGTTTCCGTTTATAGATAGCAGCTAGAACGTCTGTGATAAACTTGTAAGTGGCGTGCTCATTTGTGGGCGACGGGAAAAACATGGTGAATATGTATTTGAAACATTTAGAAGCCTACCTGAAGAGTCAGGAGAAATGATTTGAGCGGGCTGAAATATGAGTTTAACCCAGCGAGACCCGAAATTCAGGGAGATACGACTATCAACCTGATTCACTCATCAATCTAATTCATGAATTGCTCCTCGATAGTTTAGCTGGTTTTATGTTTGACTCATGGCTCGAAACGTTTCTAGATCTGTCCAACAATGACCTTGGCATTTCGGATGAGACCACAAGAGTCAGTATACTATTACGAAAGTTAGGCGCAACAGACTGTGAACGCTATGGCTATTTTATTCTACCAAAGGATTCACGTGACTTTGGCTTCTATGAGATTATTCAAACTGTAGTAAATATTCGTGGAATAGCCCACCACTTTAAAATCCTCTTTTAATGTTTAAGGATGACTAAAGAACCAAGAGATGAGCGGGTAAAAAATAAGGAAATTGTGAACTGAAAATATTAGAGGTTCAGCCCACTATCTATGACAAAAGCTTAGTTTGAGTACCTTGTATTCGTTTAGAGGCTACATTGAATGGAAGACCCTAATATCCATAAAATAATTTTTAGCGAACTTGAACATTCCCCTAGCGTCGTATTTCGAAAAGTGACTGACGAATCGAAAAGATTGGTTAATCTGAAACCTGTTGCCCTAATCGCTGAAACAAATGGGCCATTCTACCCCTTTTTATAATCGTGAGAGCAAAAGATAAGTCTCTAGTACGTAAGATTTTCAAAGTGATAGCGGTAAGCCCTCATTCCCATGGTGGTGGTTGGTACTTAAAGATATTATGCTTTTCTAAAACTTTGTTGCACTATACGTTTTGAGAAAGACAGTAGTGAAAGTCACTGTTAAATAAGAAAATGAACCCACCGACCTCTGCCAAAGTAACAACTGCCCTCAACCAGACTGGTTACATAGCTTCAAAAAATTTATTTTACCGTAGATTACAAGATATCATGCTTGCCTATATCTGGACACGGAATCAGATATGTCACTTATCGGGAGGATTATTTGAAAGAGTGTTGGGAGGTCTCCAATCAACTCCATACAATAGTGATTTTACAGCACTTTAAGTAGAAAGTTAGGTATTATCGGGGAAATACATTTGGAAGTCATCCATAAATCATGGAGTCACCAATATGAGATCACGAGAGTTGTTATGACATTAGGGACAAATGATTGTGGAAACATATTCACCGAGGTCACTATTTATGGTCAGAAGAGCTATTGTGAATGATAACTGTTGAAGCGTTACTCGGTGGATTTTGAAGGTGTAAATAGCCACTGACAAATCCCTTGTTCTTTAACTCAATGTTTCTGGAATACATGCAAGTATTAGCTTCAACTTGTGATGTAAATCCGACCACTTGCTTAAGATTTCATATTATATATGGACTACATTTCGATGGAACACAGAACAGGTATACCATAAATTCTTTTGCATATATTATTTGCAGACCAGGAAGCTTAGTTTTCACTGGTTCTGTAGAATACAACAGATTATTAAAGATTTGTTCACTTATCTTTCGAAACCTTATGCTTATATCTGTTAAACGATCTGTAATGGTACAACCATTTTGTCTTATTATTGACTCTGTTTTGATTAGCTATGAAACCGTTGTAATTGAAGCAGATTTGCATAATAGAACAATTGAACACTGTGTATGCGTGACATCCTGCCAGGAATAAATAAACAGCATTGAAAGGGATTGGATAGTGCGGTTATAGTGAAATTGACTGAGACATCCACGAGTATATTTCGGGTGATGTATTGACGATACAATCTATGAGTTCATTAAAATATAACTTAGTGAAGGGAACTCAATTTTGACTACTTTGTATCTTAGACTGACAGGTTGCTTGAATAGTTTGATGTGGCCCAGATTAGCTGGTTAGTATACCTGTGATAATTCTGATCAATGGTTCTACACTTTGTGAGATTCGGCTCAAAATCTGTAGAACTTCTAAAAATGAATTTATTCATTGGCTTTCTGTGGATCCTGAGTTTCAGTGTTATTCTATACATTTCATCGTATGGATTCATTATTCTTTTAATTTTACTCTCACTGTTCAGTGTGTTATGCTGTCGTGGATGCTATTATAGTTTAAACTCACATATTACACATCCTGCTAAGTGCATCCCCGCATGCTGAAGTAGCACAACAACTTCTTCGGATGCATATTTGTATGTGCATACCGACTGAGTAACAGATTGTTTGGGATACTAATGAGAATAGTCGGGTTGATAATTTATGAAAATACGGATATTTTAGTTTCTTTAACATGTTAGTTTTGTACGTTTTAGGAAATACATTTAGACGGAGTGTGAAGCTTTCAACTAAAGCTTTGGTTATCTAGATATCGCGATAAAGGTAATCAAAATTTATTTTGGGCTATAACTGAATCTGCTAAATAGAATTACTTATTATAAAGTGATAGGAATAACTGTATTTAATATGAGAAAGCTTATTCATAAGGTGTTAAAGTAGCAGATGGGTTCGAAGAGAGTTTCTCTAGACCGTTTTTAGGAACTCTATAGAACTTAAATAATTTTGTGTATGTCTGAAGCACATGTAAATTCACATTTGTTCTGCTTCTGAGGAGCAAGAAACAGAGAAGAAATTTAGTTTTTTCAAACTTACATAGGGTGGTGCGTTTGACAGCGTTATATGTTAGTAAATAGAATATGGTCGAAAACCGTCTGATCAGTTCATCAACACTGATTACTTGGTAAGTCACATACTGATCTTCATTATGTTAGTAAGCCATTCATTTTGTGGAGGAAGATTTCCGTTTTCTACTTTCTGAAACGTACTCATCGGAAAAAAATAACATGAATCACAAAGTCTATGTACAGGATTTATATATCAGATCCTTTTAAGGAGTCGCTTCAAGGAGTTTCTTTTAGAATATGCATATTCTGAGAAAATTTACTAAATACTGCCACCAGTCAAACAAAACAGTCATGAGAATCCAATACAAATGGTACAAAAAGGAATTTAATCTACAAAAATATCTAAGCATGATGAAAACAATATTTCAAAAGAAAAATATTTCAAACTATTTCTTCCGTTTGATTAAAATGATTTTATTTTGGCTACTTGAATTTTTCAGATCAATCATCAAAGTATAACAGTATCATATTGACGTTCAATTGTCATGTTACAAATTGGGATTTATTGTTGTGAAAAGAAAACTTTTAGAACTACACTATGATAGTTTAAATAAAACAAAATTAGGTATACACTCCAGCAGACATTCTTTCTCTCTCACACACACTCACGATTTATGCTTTGCTCTAAAGAACACATTTATTCTCAGGATTCATTTTTGAACCAGATGGACATTGGTGTGTAGTGGCGAATTCCTGACTGTGTTTCAGAAGGTCATTCACACTGGTAATCAGAAATGTTGAAACAAAACATATTTAGTAAATCGTAGAATCATAATAGACTATTCTAATCACTCATGAATAAGTGTATGGAATAATTATTGATTTCATTCATTGATGCAGATATGATATGGATGATTTTATATTGAATATTCAAATCTGTATTAACGCACAGGAATGAATACAGTTTTGGTGAGTGAATGTTTGAGATTTACGTTGAAAGAAATGAAAAGTGTATCACAACGTGAAATACCATTTAATGCAGTTGGCAAACTAGGTTGAGTGAAATGTACCCATATTTGTGAATATGAAATGACAATCATTGAAGTGTAGTAAACGAAAGTAAATATTTTATATCTTGTGGTATTTATCTTTGATAAAACGGCCAGTTACACTTGATTACTATCTGTTCAATGCTTGAGGACTGGATTTTGTTTGGTATTGGATGACTGACCTGCTTACCTATCCTATGAAATACGTGTCATTCAGTAGTCATGTTTACCTTATCATACTTCAGAGATATGAATTATTGAATAATGTTCTCGAAAATTGAAAACTTGATTTTGACGGGATGAGAAAAGTACTTTTAAATTAAAAATTAACGGATCAAATCGTAGATCAATTACCTGAATTCATAGTCGGAGTCGGGAGACAGTAATTTGGTATGAATGACATCTGTGGAGTAGCTAGTACACATCATCTTCATTTATTAGGAACAAATGAAAAAAAGAAAGTGATGAACAGCGAACTCAATGGGGGTAATACATACTTATAGTGATATGTTTTTAGACTAAAAGAATGTACACAGAATATTGGAAAGAAGCTTAGAATATGGTGTTGTGAACGAATAACATCCATGACAGAAGTAGTAGTTTGCGTAAATACGCATTATACGATTGTACTATTTACCAATCATATACTACTTATTCGTTGAATAGTATAGGTTTGAGTGAGAAATTGTTCAGTTTTGGGTAATACAATACTGTTAATGTGGTGAAAAAAGTATTCACTATTAACTCATTTGTGGTTCTTTACTTGACGGTTTACTGGCAAATCTTATCACTAAAACTCCACTCTCAAATCATTAAATATGTAAGAAATTTCCAAATGGTTCTTTTTGAAACAAATGTCACAGCACGAGATTGTCAGTGTTCTACTGAAAGATTTCCATTCTTATTAAAATGAAATTTCGTCTCGACGATTGATTTCTTATAATCTCAGAGATTGAAGAATAACACATGAATTATTCTATAATCACTCTCGTATGAATTTTGAATTGGATGTTATATAGTCGCTGAACAATGCAAGTAACATTCCTACATGATAATAATGAGCTTGTATTAAATACGTTTTGTAAATGTGAAATTTACGATATCTAGAAACACATACTTTTGCAAACGATGTGTAAAACGAGTGATTTTCATTCAAATCTCCATGACCCGTGTATGCCTGCAATGAAAGTATGTCAGTTAGTAAGATTGAACAATTCAAAGAATAGGGATTTTAATGCATTCATTACTTAGGAGCGGACCTTAATCTAGATTTGTCTGTTTGATAATTGATAATTGAGCGATCATGCACTCAACGTGGTAGCAAGCATTACTGGCAATAATTGACATTCTTTTCTCCATATTAGGCTTAACGCCATCTACAAGAATAAGAAAACTGGGAAATTCACACTCTACTAATAAGAACTATGTAAGTACGTCATTTCTGATACAGTACACACCTCCGAACTTCACCTGCAGCTCTCCTAGATTTACTGCGGGTTCCAAGCCCGAGTAAAGGAGGAGGGCTTGGTATGGAGTCGGCAGCCCCATCCCGTAGACAAAAATCTTGCTAAGAACACCAATCAGATTAAACAAATTGAACCATTTAAACATTGCCCTGGGAGCTGAAGGGAAAATTGTGACTCCTCAGGATGAAAGCCGAAACTCTTCGAAAGTCATGAAACCGATGCCTCTTTTAACAACCAGAGCAACAGTTAATATGGGTACATGGAATGTCGAGACAATGTGGGAGACCGAGAGGATCAGTCAAGTGGCTGTGGATATGAGGAGATACAAATTGGTAGTACTCGGATTCAGTGCAACCCGTTGGGCTCAAGCTGGACAGCAAAAGCTAGATACGGGAGAAATGCTACTGTACTCCGGTCACGAAGAGGACAATGAACCACACACTCAAGGAGTTGCTCTGATATCCAAATAAGCAAGAAATGCAATTATCGGGTGGGAATCTCACGGATCCAGGATCATCAATGCAGCCTTCAAAACAAAGAAGGAGGGAATCACAATAACTGTTACCCAGGCTTATGCACATACCAATAATAGAAACTATGACAATAAAGATCATTTCTTTGAGAGTCTGCAATCAATCCTAGCGAAGTGCACAAGAAAGAACCTCACGATCCTGATCGTAGGCCTAAGCTCCGAATTTGAAATGGGCAGTATCGGACGACGTGGACTAGAATAGAGAATCGAAGATGGGGGAGAGATTCGTAATCTATGTGCATTCAACAAAATGTCTATATGCGTCACAATATTCTTACACAAACGCGTGCACAAGCTATATGAGTGTCACAAAACCACACTATGGAGAACCAGACAGATCATATTTGTATTAGTAAAAGGTTCAGAAGGTCCATGTATGACGTGCGAACCAGGATAGAAGCTGATATAGCTTGCCAAGATGAAACTGAAGCCAAAGAAACACTGAACAGCTGGGGAAACGGCAGAACAAAGGTTGAATACAGCCTTCCTACGGGGTACTGACAAACACAACGAATTCAAGATCAACAGTTTTCAAGCATTACAGGAACTACCCAAAGAAGAAACTACTGTGGAGGACGACTGGAATGAAATCGAAACTTTGGACGAGGTTCAGTAAGGGAAGAACAAAAGACAGAAATAAACAACAGCCGAACAAAAATAGAGAATGTAAAGGCTCATTCTGAATACATAGAATCAAACATGCAAGTGAGGAAGAGCATCAGAGCTGACAAGCAGAAACACGCGGAAGAGCTTTCAAAGCTTCAAGAGAAGGAGATATGAGACGGCTCTGTGAAGCAATGAATAAATTGGCATGGAAATATAGTGAGCCAGAGAGATCGGTCAAGGACAAGGAAGTCAAGACAATCTCTGTGATTCAAAACAGAGGAAGAAATGGGTGGTATATTTCAAGGAACACTTGAATATAGAAAGTGAAATGAATCCACCGGACATCGAAGCAGTAGCTGCAGAACTTCCCTGTAGATGTCACTACACAGAATGTCGAAGAAATCAGGATGGCCATCAGGACATACATTAAGAAAAGCACCATAATGTATCAGGCGGCAGGCGCTAACCTTACATTTTGGAGGGAAATGGAAAAATGGAAGTCTGAAGAACACAATGCGTCAGGAATTGGAAGTAGCCATGAAAAGCATGAATAGCCACTGGAAAAATTATGCAGGACAGAGTTCGATGCACAATGCTGGTGGGCAGCCTATGCTCCTCGACAAGGGATGATAGGCGTAAGTAAGTAAGTAAGTACACACCTTCACCTTGAATTACGATCCTGGTTATTGCTCAAGATATTTTTTGTAAATTTAACATATGAAGTAGGGTGGATGGGCATGACTCAGTCGCTGCAATTTTCATCTTTCTAGAGTATGAAAATTTATTTTGTGTTCACTATAAGACGGATTTTTTAATCGTATAACAATTTTCTTTCTGTTTTCTGTGTGTGAAAAGAAACAATACACTGACGAATTACTGACTAAACTACTGTTAAAAATACATAATCTGATTCATCGCTTTGATATGAAATCCATACTTCACCAACCATAATATTTCATATATAAATCATTCAGTGAATTGAAATTGTTACTGATTCACTGTTGAAATACAACACTTACGATAATACATGTCATGTTTAGGTGACACGTAATACTGATGATCGAAATCAATGAACACAAACTTATCTAAATTCACTCACTTTAATGGATAGCATGAGACCATTAATATCAGCTGACAAAGATCTCAAATTCTAGTATACATGAGAAGCAAAGTAAACAGATATAGTGGCTTTGATAACTGTGATAATATATCAAGTAATCTGGTTTTTGATTAAATAATCTTACAACGTGTTAAATGAAATTCTATCATGTTTGTGCACCATATTTACAATTAAATTTCGGTAGTGCATGTGAAATAAAAATGTAATTGTATGAACGACGAATATTCTTTTCAATAATTTCTCATCAGGTTCTACAATTATCTTATATCCAAATTAATAATCCATAAAATTGTCCGGATTTAAGGCAGAGTACATCATTTGAAAATTGTAATATGTAAGTTAAGAATTGTTGTTTGTTATATAAAATCAAATCAGATCGTTAGTGTTGCAGCTGACTTATATGAAGTGTTAACTTGAATCAGTTTATAAGCGAAATGAAATCGTGCGATAAATGATCAGAATAAATATGGTCAACATGGGGTGAGAGAGAAAATAATGGAATAAAAATCGGAAATTACATAATATATAGAATAATATGAATTAGGTCAGATATAGTAGATTTAGATTCCAAATGATGTACTCTGCCTTAAATCCGGACAATTTTATGGATTATTAATTTGGATTTATAAATTGTAGAACCTGATGAGAAATTATTGAAAAGAATATTCTTCGTTCATACAATTGTCCTTTCGTATAATAGGGATTTTTCAGCGAGTAAAACAAAAATGAATATAGTTTGTAAAGTTAAATAGCGTCTGCTGTCAAACAAATTTCCTTACTCTTATAACATTCATTCTTTTATCAAGACTACATTAAATGTACAAATCGAACAGGGTATGTTCTCAAAATATATATTTCCCGACCCTCAACAGGATCTGAGTCAGCAAATAGTTCTTAATCATCTTGTACATCAATCATATTTGGACTAAACGTGTCCTACCAATGGGATTTGCAACTACATTACAACAAACACAACAGATCTTTATTGTTCATTAGTTTTTACTACAGATTTTTTACTGCTCCTTAGAACTCATCAATTCAATGTAGTTTTGCAACCCCTCGACTGTAATCATAACGTATTTAAGAAATGGTCGACGTGGAAACCACTGTTCTTAATTGATAATATCAGATAATTTGAGATGACGTTTATTTGCATATCGTAAATGACTGTCTATTGTAACATATTTTTCGTTGTACGTTTCGGTTTTAGGTCAACAATCGTTTGTTTATGCACCAACACTTTTTATCCAACCAAAACGGGTAAACGAGTTTACCCATTTAAATATCACATTGATAATAATTTGATGTTGTTTGTAAATCATCATGCCTTATTTAACTTGTAGTAATTGAGAATAAATAATAAGAATAATTAGTTATGTATTTACGACTGTATAAGTTGTTAATCTAAATAATCTTTGTTCCTGAATATATTTTTGTTGGGTTCGCAGAATTTTGGCATCCGACAGAAATCGCTTGTGATAATGCATAGTGAGCGAAGATAGTAGAATAGGCTACTGAGTAGTTTGGGGTTACATAGCTCCAAACATTAGTATGATGCTATTTGGTTGCATTTTTAATTTAAAAGAAAAAAAGAACAACGGACTAAAAAGTTGATAAGATATAGTAAGTGATCTTTATATCCAGCAGTGACATGTCGGCCTATGCTTTTCTTCCTTGTACCTTTTGGCCCAAAACATGGTGCACGATCCGAGGTGTCATTGTAATCATCTGATTTTTACCGTTAAACCAAAGGAGTAAAGTACCATGGTTTCGTGAGTTTCCAATTGCCGACAAAAAAGAGGCTCAAATACCTCCCTTGTTGAATTGATGTTTTTTGAAGAGAAATAAATGGTGTTGAAATCGGTTGCCTGGGGGTTTAAGTGAATTACAAATGGTCTAGTTGCATGGTTCCTGAATCAGCACTTTTGCACATGGGTTATCGAAATCAACAATGGAACGGAAATCATAATTCAGATCCAGTGGGAACGTCAATTAACAGTTTGAAATCACTAACACTTGCGGTGGTGATATTACTGGGCTCCATAGTAGCAGTTTCAGGTAAAATAGATGATGCGAATTGAGGAGTGTATTTTCTTTAGTTGGTATTTAAACGAAACTCATCCATTACCAACATAACGTTTGACATTTTGCTTTATCATGGAATTTTCAGCAAGTGATTCACACCTATCATTTACCGTGTGCTTGATGTATCGAATGAATGAAATGCTATTTCAAAAACATGTGTAGCTGTTAAACACAATGCGTTTTTGAAACTTATTTGCATAAAATGGGAAATGATTTGTGCAAATAACGGTATATACAACTGAACAATCAACTTCAATTTTGATATTTTATAAGCCGTTGAAAATGCAACTTTACCCTGATAAAATTAACTTTTTAAAGGACCGCTTACCTTCTCGTTGTATCCTTTGAATTCGTCTTGTTTCTGCAAGCAACATAGTTGAGCCTCAAAAATGTTTGCATTTGTTGATATACAGGAGAACTGAGAAGTTTCATGTGTATATGCTCCCTTGTTATTATTTACTGTAAGACAAGCATAATTTAAATATTTGAGTTTATGCAGGGAATATAGATAAAAGTTTAAACAGCTTTTATTTACTTCAAACCACCGGGTTCAATGATTTTTATTCGAAAGATTTGCATATCTTCAGTAACAGAAATCATGATATTTTGCTATGGTAAGTGTAATTAATGCGGAATAGTGGAAAGTGTTGGTGAATTTTAATATACTAGCATTCCCATGAGGAAATTGGTCTAAGGAGTTTGATTTGTCGGGATTATCCTGAGAGCTTTACACGTCATTTGATAATAAACTTGTAAGCTATTATTTCACGGTTTGTTAGGGGACACCGAATTTCTTATGGAAAACGTATTTTATTGTATCACACAATCTTTATTACACTACAAGTTTTACTTACGTCATTTAAGAAAGTCTTTACACTGTCAATGTTCAAACCAATTAAAATTGTGACTTTTAATTGAGGTCATGAGGCGATCAAGTTAGTCTACCATTGAAAACATGGAAGAACTGGACGGCACTTTAGTCTAGTGATGGGATTCCTCAGCAGAGTGAACTCACGATCATTAACGCGGGACATTTGAAGCCAACCACTAGTGGGCACATGATACTTATAGGCATATGGTTTTGAATGGTGGTCTGACATTGGTCGGTTCATGATCTTAATTAAACCGCAATGATTTCCACAACACTATGCTGAGAATGACGACTATTAGATTTCTGTTTAAGCAAGTGCAGTTACAATAAACACAAATGGTGCTCATCCTGTCAAGTCATTTTATCGCAGATAAGTGATTAATGAAAATCATATTGATTTCTGTTATTAGAAATTATTACACATTATCTAATTTAAGAATTCATACATTTCGGTCAAGAGAGACTGTGCAACCCAGTGAAAATACCTTTACATATTTCATCAACTTGTTTCAGCCATTGATTACGCATGCAAACTAAGTTGATTCATTGGTATACTTCACGAACTATTTTAAATAATAAATTGTGACATCAATCTGATTAAGGCAAAAGGGAACATTATTTAAAATTCACCTTCATTCATAAGCTGGCGACCAATAAGCCAACCGATAGTCCCATATTTTTCAGACATTGAATATCCTTCTTCGAGATATGGTGGGTTTAATAGACCGGCAGATATCTTAATAAGTTTGTTTTCAACCGAACTAGATATGTACGGCATAAAACTAGAAGCGTCAGGTCTAAATAAATGTGAACAGAAATGTAGGACTCTCTTAGGTGGTGAAATTTACAGCTATTTTAAACTTAAATAATAAATGAAAAAAGTTTTAGTTTGGCCAGTGATATTTCAGAATCACGATACACAATATACACATTTTTCATTAGAAAATAAACAAGTGAAGAGTAGTAACACACAACTTTGAACTGAGGGCTGAAATATCTATCAGGAGGACTCCACACTGCTTAGCCGATCGATGACGATCGAACAAAAGACTGATTGATTTCTGAAAGGCAATCGATGTCATGCTATTTCATCTCATTTTTTGCTCCGAGTTGGTTGATCAAGTCGTCTTAATTGAGTTGACATCAAGGTGTATATTATTCGAACTTGAAACAGATTTAGAAAACAAATCACATACTTTATTTAGGGTTAATCAAACACAAGTATTCGAAATCAGCTATTGACTTCTATACAGAAACTTTGGAAGTGAGTCAAATGACCGATGTGTCGAGGCTCAACGTAGGTACATAGTTCACTTACGTACGGTTAGCTGGATAGAGAATATCAGATGGATAGAAATAACTCACTCAAATCGGTTAGTGAATATTATAATATTGGGAGTATATTGATTCCATGAAAATTTGTTTTACTCAGTGTATTTGCTGACTCAAAAGTTGTAAAACAAATACTTCAAAATTATAAATTACTCCATGTCAGTATCCAGTGGTTTGTAAATTGATTTAAGTAACTTCGTCTTCTGAGAATAATAGGCATTCATTAAGTAATCATCCTCGGATATTTCATTCTGAAACAGGAAAGGGATATTTTCATGAACTCTCAGAATATTCATTATTTAAACGAATGTAGGAAATTTCTGAACGTGTCGCCATTAATTTTTTTTTAAATATACGTGAATATGTTCCATCTAAATACTTCGTTCATCGTTGCTTCTAGCAGTTGTTCAAGTCTCCTTAGATACGTCAACGTATTTCGAGTAGATCCGAACTTTTTGAAGAACAAGGTTGTCACTGTTACATTGTCATGAGATTGAATGCTGTTTTACAAACACTCTTCACCTCTTTTCAATCGAACATTCAGAATCAAATGTACTTAGCAGGACAGTAAATTCATGCAACAGGCAGAATGATATAAATATTAATTAGCACCGAAGTCGGAGACTATAGTGAAATATATGAAATGCTGTGAATTTCACGTTTACGATTCTACAACTGAACAAATTCCTTTAACAAGGTTTTTTATAAGTAGTTAAGGCCCGATAGTTTATGTAATAAGTCCGATTGGATTCATCATTTTAATTGTACACGACAGGTGTAAAAAGATTGGATTAATAGACTGAGGTGTACTTGCGATTGCATTTCCGAGCATATCTTTAACAACCTGAAGGTTATAAACATCTCAACCCTAAATAGTGAGATCGCTGTCTACTTAATCAATGGCCAGCATGTTATTGACGTTATTCACTCATCTGAAATAATTGACGAACAAAATCCAATTTCTTGTAGCTTCACTGCAGCAGTGAGTAAAATTAGGCTAGAACCTAGGGTATTGTATTAGAAAGAGACAGGTGTAAACAAGTTAATCTTAGGTTATATTGAGAAATTCTACAAAGCAAGCTTCAACAGCTTGATCATCCATTTCCGAACTATGTAAGCAACAACAGAATTCTTGGAGTTATTGAGAGCTATTCAAATATTCTATAACTGTTACACATTCCCTCTTATCAATTCTGGAATTATTTATGATTTCTGCCCTGTCTACTTTATGTTTGTTACACCATCCACAACATATACATGCATACGTAGTCCTGATATTCTGTGTCGTTTCAACTGCTTGGTATTATAGTTGGACAGTATGTTATATCTCATGACAAGTATGATTGAAAGCAATTGATGAGAAATACCGAAGTGAAACGATAGCATATTATTCTGTTCCATTCATTGTATTTACGTCAGTCACGAATTCTTAACGTCAAGACAAGTCATATGGTGGACAGAGTGGAAGTACAATGCTAATCTCTTTCAAGACGTCTAGTGATTATTGTTATTTAAGGAGTTCCAGGATGATAATCAACAACCAATAAATTATTTATGAGACTCACATTGAATATGAAATCTCGGCTCTCTCTATCTGCTGCGGACAAACTTTTAGAAGTTATTATGGACAACTGATAAGCATTAGCCTAAACAAACAAACGGATTAGTGTTCAACTCATCAGTTAAAATAGGACAAACCAAGTTGATAGATTTCTGCTTTTCATCTTCACTCGACCATGACTTTGATGACAATGAATGAGTCACGGTCGTTTTCAATTGTTTGAACATTTCGAGAACCTATCCAATGCATAATGATATATTACTCATAATCAAAGTAATTACGCAAATGTTACAAAATAAACCATCAGTAATTAAGAGAATTGAAAACGAAAGAAATCGATATGGCCCACTTAACACAAATGTCCTTTGTTTTACTGCCAATTCAATACGGAAGAAACAGTCATTCAGATGTGTATGTGATCAAACAGACAACCATCTTCTATGAAACAAGCTAATCAATTCATCACTAAATGGTAGTCCGTCTGAATAGAATACAAAATTGTTCACTGTAATTTGCTTAGAGCATGTTGTAGTAACATAAATATATCAATCTATGATTGGAAACAATAAAATTGTCTTCAGTTTTATCATTGAAATGAACGTCTCACTGACAACAAATTGCAAACCAGAACACGATTAGTTCCAAGCAGTTCAAAATCGGGCTTTCTGAAAATAAGCAAACACAACCATAAATAGACAGGGTTTTAATGAAATTGTAGACTCACTTGATTTTCTGTACTTTCACTTATACTAGAATATTTGTGATGTTTTTCTATTGTCCATCGGAAATTTTCTTTTACTTCATCAATGCAAGTTGTTGGCTTTTCCGCTGACATTTCTGTCGACGTGAATCAATATTTTATCACGTCAATAAACGAAGTGATATAACGAGACAAATAAATAAAGCATCGTTTATTTTTATTCATATTGAGCATTGTATGACTAATTACAGAAGTGTACTCATTTATCCTATCTCATTAGAAAAAAATACCGTTTGAAATTGGCTAGATACATACACATTAGTAAGACTTGGTTTGATTGTTGAAATCACACATCGAGAGCAAATTGGTATAAAAAATAAGAGAAATTGAGCCAATGGTTAGGTCATTTTTACTATGACTCTGATGTGAATACGTGAAACTTGTTTTACGTTATTTCAGCCTAATCATTATTTAATCCATTGTCTTTATTATGGTGTCGACTGTTATGTATCTCGAATGTATCTTAATATTGATAATAGTTTGTATGTTGAATATATCGACATTCAAGTGAATTATATTGCGATTTGTTTACTTGTTCTTCCTTCACCTCTAATATTGAAATGAAAACGTTTGGATTAAACATAGATAAAATTGGAAATCAACTGGATTAAAGGAACTGACAATGTTACTTACGAACATTAGGAGAATAAAACTCATTGAAATACCGGTTCAATATATTTTTCATGTTGAACAAGAAACTGATCACTGTCATCGAATGTAAAGTTCTTTGAAAATAAATGTTAATAGGATAATGATTGTTTATTGGTAAACAATTTAGGAAAAGTGGTAGTTAAAAGACCTGACAATAACAAGAAAACGTTTTACACAGAACTAACAATCGTGGTAGTTTGTAAGAGTAGGAGAATATTTCATCATGGATGATGATTACTTAGATATGGGAAAGAAGTCACAGAATGACCACAATTCATATTCCCTTTACTCCATGGTTATACATGCAATCACATCGGTATGAAGTCGAATAATGTGATATTCGTTTAAATATTTTGGTATTCTGACTTTTGTACAGCTATGTTCCATAATTAGTTTAATGAATAGGCTTGTGAACTCAAAAATACAAAGTGAAATCCACATTTTCTGTTCATCTAAAACGAAAAGCTTGTTACTTATGATGGCTCATGTGTTCGCTTAAGTGAGACGACCGATGCAAATGATTTCAGCCAGTAAACCGAGGAGTTATTAACCAACCCGTCAATATTATTTCTCTATTTATCTTCGTGATGGTTATCCAGGATCTTAAACACAAAATTATTATTAGTTCCCCTGATAAAAATAAAATTTTAATGCATTTGTTTATTCGAGTTCACAGCTACCATTTTTCACGGAATTTTATTATCACTATTTTTGTAGATATTGTCATTGTGAAAAAAAGTTTATATTTGCGATCTTAAAGCTTATAAAATGAATTTGCCGAGAAGAACTCTTCGCTAAACCAATCTTCCTTGTTTTATATCTATCATTGAACATCGGATCGAACTTAAAGTCTAAATATGAACTGATTTTGACTTTCAAACTGAGGTTTGCACTAATCTGGATTAAGTTTTCCTTATTTTACACAAGTCTGGTTGTCTGCTGAATTAAGAGTACTTACTGTCGAATGAACAAAGGTCGTATTTCTAGAGTGTTAATATTCAAAAATGAAACAATGTAAAACCAATCGCTTTACAATTTGATGTCTATAAACACTAGATACATTTTGTTAAAATAAATATACATCTAGTAGTTCAACAAACGGTGATGCCCATTTTTGTATTGAGTTACTTTGAGTGCCATGATAATAAATGAAAAAGCAATATAAAGATAGGGAATAACAACAGGTATTTTGTCGGAATAAATCGTTTCTAAAAGCGTAACACTCAATAATGAGAGGAAATTACTTTCTTCCTTTATCTGTTTCCATAGCCAACTTGTGTATATCACAAACCTTCTTCAAAGTGTTTGAATCATAGGCAATAATTTTCATATTCTTGTATGATTCATAGTTGATTTCACGGAATACACTTTCAAATAAAAGATTCCAATCGATCTGATCAAAATAAACAATAATTTGAAATACATTTACAAAGACAGTAAATGGGTCATGTCACAAATCCGTTTTCTACATATGATCAGTGTCACTCAGCTGATCCTGATAGGTAGTTATCATACATTTTGTTGTCAACAATGAATGTAAATAACACTGTACTGTTCTTGTTAACTGCATGATCATTCAAAGATAATAATGTATGAAGTTTTCACCTGTGATTTTTATTCAAAGTAGTTTTTAAACCAGTTGACTTTGATCAAATTGAGACAGAATTTTGAACAACAGACGAAAAGTGTCATCAATTTTGCGTATTTGATTTATGGGTAACTGGATGGTAACAAACCTTTTTTGGTGTAAACAGTTACATTCTATCGATCTAAATTCTAATTCTGAGTATTAAGAAATGGTTAGACAAGAGTCCATTGAGTAAAGGTTCTACTTTTATGAACATTGATAAAGTACATTTGTGGATGCTATGAATTTTCCTGGACTGATTTTCCATCCTGAGATACTTAGTTAACACACATTTCTTTCCACAGTTCAAAAAACAGATGGATTTAGATTCCGACCGTCTCCGTATTGAAATATTTGTATTTTACTAACCCATTTCCAGCATGGATATGTTATAAGCTTCGTTTAAGTTGTTTTGGTTTTACAAACGAGACAGTTCTGAATGCAACATCACCATAGACGACGTCTCGGGCTCAGTAGGTGACAATTTGATGAGGGAGACATTTGATGTTCAGTCGTAATTCGAGTTATTTGGTGAAGTTAGTCCCAGATGAATGTCTCAGTTTACTCAGACACATGTATCAATAACACTTTGATTTTCTCGCTTTTCGTAGAAAATGAGAATTTTATTACTTCTCTAAGGGTCAATATGTGAAGGTACACAACACTTTGACGATAAAACTGCAACTGAAACAAAGAAAACACTATGAGATTAGGTAAGGGTTATTTGTGTTCCGGGATATGCGGATTAATGCACGGCATCAAGGTATATGTAGTGTTATATTTGTTTTAGTGTGCCGATAACAGTAGGTCGCTGAAGGAATGAGTGAGTTTCATTCGTAGTTGCATGATTGTAGAATTTATGAAGATTAACAATCAACTAGATGGCAAATTACTGGCTAATCTAAATTCAACCTTCACCTTGATGGATCTATCATTCATTCAGTGATAGAACTGTGCTTCACATGTAAATAATATTTTAAGAACAGTTTAATTCGTCAACTCACTACGGGACAGATTTCTATTAACTTCTCGATTGCGATTTCTGAATCAGAACCAGATGGTTTTGTCTGAAATAAATAAATTAGCGAAGTCTAATCACGATCAATTATCTGATCTAGTTTATTGAGTGAGCGCTACCAAGGATTTTGGGATTGGATCAAGATAATTGTTTAAGGCCGTTTTGTTGAAAGTGGATTTTGAACAAGCAAACACTATCTGCCTTGTTATCTTGTTTGGGGCAACCGATAACGTTATCAGCGTTTCGTTAATCCATTTCACTAGTTTTATTTACCTTTACAATTCTATCCCATCATAGTTATCATTTTGAAATAAACGAATTTAGTATTTTAACATGTGACATACGTGTTGATAATAATTTAGAAGCTCCATGATATATATTAACAGAAAATAGAGTGTTGCCGAAAATCCCATTTCTTTTAAACCAAAATCCATGTATCGTCAATGTTATCATATGCTTATCCATAATAATTTGTTTTATTCTAGCTAAGGCATTCGGTAATATTCGGAAGTGTTTTGGAATTTTCAATTTATGTAAGTGGACTGTAGTATGTTGTCATTAATGATAGTGAAATATTGAAGTCGTCTGCATTATGGATTTTCTTGTGGGTGATTTTACAGATTGAAACATATAGTAGAGTTCAGTGGGTGTAAGACGATAGGTATTTGTATCAATTATATTAGCACTGCTTCACTGTAATCTTTTGAAATAAATTATGTTACTGACACGAAGTTCACAGGACAGGGTTTGTTCACATCTGCAAAAATAATTTCAGAGAAGTTTTATTGTCGAATGAAATTCATGAGAGAGAGTTCTATAATCATTCGACTTGATGTTGAGCCAACAACATAAAAAGTTTGGTCACGTTATTTATCGTCTCGTATGTCGCTGGATAATTGCCTATAACGATCCGAAAATCTCTTACACTACTGGGTAGCTAGAACTTAATTGGATTACCAGGAGCTCATATTTGTCTTCTCATGACTGAAATGCAAATATACTAATCACTGGATACTATGTCCGTTTTCTACAAAATAATGGAGTGTATAAAAAAATTCACAACAACACAATTTCGAACAATTATGAAGTAAACATAGTCACTTTACTCACAGATTTGATTTCGACATAGAAATTGACAACATCTTGTATTAAATTTTCCTTATTCTCCGAAGGTCCGATTCTCTTCATATATTCGAAAAGTTTTTTACCAGTTCCCACATTATAGGGCTGT